ACTCCACAGCTTAGAGGGAACTTTGGCTGAGAGGGAGCATTGCTGGGGGCCCTGGAGGATATTCAGGGAGGTGGCGGAGTGAAGCCTGCCCCCGCCTCCTGACCGCTGGTATTTCAAGGAGGTCTCCCACCCAAGTACTTGCCAGAGTCGACCCTGCTTAGCTTCCAAGATATAACGGGATCGTGCTCGCCTGGGCGATCCAGGTCAGGGCGGGCAGTCCTTTAAAAGGTGACGTGCCGGGCAGCTAACTAGACCTCATTGCGGCGGACCGTGCACCAATGCGCCCTCTAAGCTACGGGGTCTTGTGAGCAGAAATTCCACTTTGTGAGCTACCGGCCTTAAAAGTTGTGAGCTAGCTATCTGGCTGCTGCATAAATCGGTTTGCTCAGGAGCCCTCCTCCCTGAGCCGAGACGAAAATGTGTGAAGAAAAATGCTAAGAAATGCAATTTTTATATTGTTAAGCTAATAATTTTATAAGCAGTATGTGACCTCCAACTCTTGGGTTTTTAGTGGGTTTTCTTTCCTTTCTCCTATAGTTTGTAGGACACCCCCCCCTCTAATTTTGTTGTAGTTTTTAGAAAATGCAAATTAAAAAATCCCCGACGGGGGGCCATTTAAAAAAGAAAGAAAGAAAGAAAATGTGTGAGCCGGAGGCTAGAAAGCTGGGAGCCGGCTCACACTCACTCAGCTTAGAGGGAGCACTGCCGTGCACGTTCCCGCCTCCCTCTGTTTGGCGGCGGTCGACGGCATTCTGCTCCCCCCGCTGGCCGCGGTTCCTTGGCAGGTGCCAGCCCGGCTCTAATTCTGCCCCAAGCATCAACGCCTTCCTTTCTTCCTCTTCTTCACAAAACAAAACCTGGGAAAGGGGTTTGTAAGCCGCTCTGAGACTCCAAGTGAAGGGCGGGGTATAAATCCAATCTCTTCTTCTTCTTCTTCTTCTCCCAGTCCAAGGGGCGGTGATCTTTGCAGAGGTCCTCTGTGCCGTGAAGCGGATGTTGGCCCGGGTCCTTGTCATCATCGCCAGCTTGGGATACGGCATCGTTAAGTGAGTGCCCGTCGAGCGGTGGGGTGGGAGTTTGGGCGTGAGCGGGGCACTGGAGTGATACGGCGGGGGGGGGAGGCCGTTAAGGTCCTTGCTCTGCCCACCCACCTTCCTCGGAGCAAAGCAGATTCTCGTTTGGTGCAGTGGTTAAGAACACGGATTCTAATCTTGGAGAACTTGTCAACGCCCTTCCTCAAATGGGGTGCCCAAAACTGGACACAGGACTCCAGGTGAGGCCTGACCACGGCAGAACAGAGCGGAACGACCACCTCCCGTGATCTGGACACAAGGCTTCTGCGAATGCATCCTAAGATTGCATTCGCTTTCTTCGCAGCCACATCGCACTGCAGGCTCGTGAGTTTCTAAATGTATTCTCCCCCGCCCCCCACAGGCCCCGGCTGGGCGCTCTCCTGAACCGCGTGGTGGGCGTCGGCCTGATGTACCTGCTCTTCTCCATCATCGAGGGCGTCCTGCGGGTGAAATCGGTAAGATGGGAGACTCTGGACGAGGGGGGGTCCCTTGGGGCAACCGGGCCGGGGTCCAGCCGCCTCAGTCTCCGATTGTCCCCCCCACCCCAGGAGCAAACTAACTCGACCGCACTAATCTGCGAAATTGTCCTGGCCTTTGTGGACTCCTGTATCGTCTGGTGGATATCCTTTACGAGGGACTGAAACAGGGGGGGGGGTTGTTTCCCAGATT